CATTTCCCCAAAGGGGACTCAGAACGGCTTACATGAGGCCAAGCCCAAAAATAATACAGCAAAGTTAGGCACAAAACAACAGAAAAATTACATCACAGCAAAATACATAAAGTAACAAAATAAAATAAACAGTGCAAAATCTATATAAATAAAAATGTAATGTTAGTTTGTGGGATTAACATAACTCAAAAACCACTATATGAATTGGTATCAAATTTGGACCCAAAACACCTATCAGGCCAACGAGTGACCATCACTCATAAAAACACTGGAAAACACAGCAGAAGAGACTTAAAAAGCTAAAAAATAAAAAAATACATTACAACACATAAACATAACCACATATTTACACAAATACACAAATATATACACATACAAAACACATATACACAAACTGTGCCACAGCAATGCGTGTCAGGGGACAGCTTATATACATATATATATATATATATACACACACACACATATATATAAACCTCACTTGCCTAGTAACATGATAAATGGGCCAAATGTACAAGATAAAATATTAAAACATTAAAACCCTGGGTGAGATAGGAATTGAAAAAGTGTATGTATGAGGAAGGAGCCCAAGAAAGAGGCTCTACAACAGAAAAGAGTGCATGCTTGTCCTCAAAACTGGCAGTCATGCCTTCCCATGTGATCCGATGTTCTTCCCGCCTTCTTTTCCAGTTCTTTACATGTATTTTATCTAATTATAACTATTGCCATATAGATCTAAAACATCAATTCCATTTGTTAGTAAACTAGTATTGTGTGGGGTTTTTTGTTTGTTTATTGTGTCAGAAGCAAGTTGAGGGTACAATTAAAATGCATTTAAAAACACAAAGATTTAAAAAACTTGGCATTATACTAAATGTCCTTTGACCAGTAGCTGGCCACTTGGAATGCCTCTGGTGTTGTCGCAAGAAGGTCCTCCGTTGTGCATGTGGCGGGGCTCAGGTTGCATTGTAGTAGGTTGCCTGTGGTTTGCTCTTCTCCACACTTGCATATCGTGGACTAAACTTTGTGGCCCCATTTCTTAAGGTTGGCTCTGCATATTGTGGAGCCAGAACACAGTCAGTTACATTTCTTGAGAGATGTCTCCAATTCAGTAGATGTAAAAGGTCCATGAAGGTTGGTTGTTGTTCTCATTTTCTGGTTGTCTGACTATTGGTTTCCTTCCTAGTTTGGTGGCAAGGTTGGGTTTCCCATTCTTCGGAAGTTGATGCGTTATCTGGTCGGCTTTTATCTTGGCATAGGTATTAGTTTGTGAGGGATGATTGCTCAGCTGTCTTAACAACCTCCGTGCCTTCTGACTACCCATATCAATTTCTGTTATCAGCTTTATCCACTTTTTGTTAATGTTCTTACTAATAGAGAGAGGTCTAAATCCTTCCACATTTGTAGGTCTTTTTGTATCTCATTCCATAATTTTTCATAGTTGTTTTTCAATCATTCAGTTTCTGTTTGTCATCAGTATTTCCAAATATTTTACTTTAGTCGTTATATTGATTTTTGTCTCTTGTTTCAAAGTCTCTTGGTCAGTGGTTCTCAACCTGGGGTGCCCAGATGTTTTTGGCCTTCAACTCCCAGAAATCCTAACAGCTGCTAAACTGGCTGGGATTTCTGGGAGTTGTAGGGCAAAAACATCTGGGCACCCCAGGTTGAGAACCACTGCTCTTGGTCCTTCTTCACAAGAATGGCTGTGGATCATGTAGCATCAGCTAAAAGAATCACAGGGGGATTCAGTGTGGGTTGGGACTGAATGGGAGCTCAATGGGAGGCCAAGTGAGTCTGGAGAATGGAGAAGCAGAGGCCCGAGTGAAAGGAGGGCCCAGCATTATCTGGCTCTGAAGTAAATAAAGGGCTTGTTTTTTCTCTCTCCAAGAAAAAGCCCCCGAAGCCCATTGTCTAATTCTGCCTTTCTTTCACACAGAAAACGTGATTGTTGGCTGAGAATTTTGCAGTAGAACCTGTTCAGTTAAGAGAAGAGGAAGGAAAAACATCTTGGTTACCATTTGGTTCTTCATCAGAGTGGTTCCAACATGGAGCGACTCAGCTCACCTGAACCTGAAGCAGGCAAGGTCCCTGAGAGCAGTGGGGAATCCTGGGAAAGAACTAAGCAAACATTCCTGGATGCGCACATACAGTTGCGGCACTTCAGGCATTCCTCCTACCGAGAGGACGAGGGACCCAGAGACATTTGCAGCCACCTCTACAATGTCTGCTGCCAGTGGCTGAAGCCAGAGCAACACACCAAGGCAGAGATGTTGGACCTGGTGGTCCTGGATCAGTTCCTGAACATCCTGCCCCCAGAGATGGGGAGCTGGGTCCGAGAGTGTGGGGCAGAGACCTCTTCCCAGGCAGTGGCCCTGGCGGAAGGCTTCCTCCTGAGTCAGGCAGAGGACGAGAAGCAGGAAGAACAGGTGAGAGCATCTCTTCTTGGTGTCACTCACCTTGGGACTGATGAATAGAATAAATATACATCTTGCCTTCCTTCCAAGATGGGACCGATGTGAGGGAGAAGCCAGACTCTGCTCCCCTGGCCTCTTTTCCCACCTGCTCTGCCCGTCCTGCTCTCACCTCCATATCCACTATAAGCTCGGTTGCTCCTCTACCCAAGGTGTTGATGCCAGATATCACATTAAAATCTATGGGAGAGGGGAGCATGGCCTTTGTTTCAAACTAGGTTGCAATGTCACAATGCAGTTCCTACACATTTGGGGGGAAATCCTTTTCTAATCTTTCTCCATTCCTCTTATGGAATTCTCTGTGGTCTTTCAGGCCCAACATAACTGTATTGAAGTCCAGCCTGATGTCCCTGAACCAGAGGAATGTCACTCGGACACCACCCAGAGTCTCCAGCAGAAGGAGCTCAAGCAGGAAGGAGATGGCGCTGCAGACTTGGAGGGTAAGAAGGAACCCTTTGGGAGTGTTTTGGTGATTTTGTCAGTGTAACTTCCCCTAGACTTAATGTCAAGGGGAAACCTTTACCTTTACCTTAAGTTCCCGTTTGGAAGGATTGTAGCACATCCCCAATCAGTTTGAGATTGAGACCATGCACATGCAGGATCATTGGTCTTGAGATTAGTATTTTGGTAGGCATTTGGTTGCCCAGAGTACCTTTGGGGAGATGTGGTGGGATATAAATAAAATAATAATAATAATAATAATAATAATAATAATAATTGTAATTATTATTATTAAAAGCTGTAATTTCAGTTTGATTTGCAGTTTTCTTTCTTGCCATACTTCTGCATTAGCCAAAAGTTGAATTGGACTGAAAATTCAGCCCTTCGGTATCTTCCCAGATGGGACATGAAGTTAAGTTGACCCCTCAAACTGAGTTGGAAGACAAAGAGACAACAAACAGTAACTTTAGTCAATTGAATTGTCAAGCCCAGTACTAGGTTCAGTCCAACCTACTCCCAGCACTGGTTGAGATAAAAAGTTCTAAACTCCAAAATGTTACATATTCCTGGGCTGGAGAATGCTCCTGTCTTCATAGGGTCATTTCCTCATAGGTTTCTTTATAGGACAGTAATTCTCTCCTCTGTTGCATGTTTATGCATTCATCTTTCCACCCCTTGCTCTCTCTTTCTCTCTCTCCCAGAGTCTGGAATGATGCTGTTGCCGAATCCTCAGTCGTTTCTTCCCCTTTCTGATGGAGTGGAACTGAATCAGGTAAGCAGAAGGATTCCTGGGAGAGGAGGAAGGGAGCTGCCTGGGGGTCTCCCTCTGCCTCCCCCCCCCCCACTGTGCCCCTCCTACTCTCACATCCATATACACTGTAAGCTTGACCCCCAGATACAACATTGAAAATGATGGGAGAATATGGTAAAAAATCCAATAATTTTAGAGTTTTTAAGGATTTAATATGTTAAACGGATGGACTGTATTACGTTTTGTTTATGTACGTTGTTTTTTTATTTGTTATATGTTGTAATAATAATAATAAAAAAAATTATACCCCACCACCATCTCCCCAAGGGGACTCGGGGTGGCTCACATGAGGCCAAGCCCAACAATTACAACAAGCAAATATGCAACATAAAAATACAGCAATAAAATATAATGAAAATAATAATACAAAAAACAATACAAGGTAAACACACAATGCAATATAAAATCACAATAATTGGACACACTGGGCAGGGCCAGTTGCAAAGATTAAAAGGTTTAAAAACACTAGGTGAGATGAGTAATGTAATGTATCTGGGCAGAGGTTCTGGTTATCCTCGGCATTGAATGTTTGGCACTATGTTTTGTTTTGTTTTTGTTGTAAGCTGCCCTGAGTCCCCTTGGGGAGATAGAGCGGGCTATAAATAAAGCATTATTATTATTATTATTATTATTATTATTATTATTATTATTATTTATTATATCTCAGAGTCAATATACGCTTTGGGTCCAACCTCTCTTCGAGACCACATCTAGGAACCAGTGCAGGCCTTGAGATCTGCTGGTGAGGCACTTTTGGTCCCACCACTGTCACAGGTGCGGTTGGAGTGGACGAGAGAGAGGGCCTTTTCAGTGGTGGCTCCCTGGCTCTAAAATGTCCTCCATAGAGAGATTAGATTAGCCCCAAATCTCCAAATCTACTGTTCAAGCCTAAAAACATGGCTATTTATATGAGCCTTTAACCTGGAGTAATGTACTATGGTCATGCGATGACGTCAAGCATTGTTATTCAGCACTTTAGTTCATGTTTGAAGAAACCCAGTGACCCACAGGTATGACTGTATGTAAGAATGTTTTAATTTTTTTATTTTACCGATTGATGTCCGTTGTTTGTATTCAGTCAAATTGTGTATTGTTTTGATGATATGTAATTCTATTTTACGTGTGGCAACTTGAGTGCTTTGTTAGTCGCACTGAGTCCCTTCAGGGAGATGGTGGCAAGGTACAAATAAAGTTTTTATTATTATTATTATTATTATTATTATTATTATTATTATTATTATTATTACATTGTCATGGACCGACCATTATCAGTTGCCTGCAACCTCCGCAGGGGTAAAGGACCTATTAAGATGGTCCACCCCAGGAGACTTCTGGTTCCAGAAGGAAATGTTTTCTTTTTCCACCAGGGCCCAATAGCCTTTGAGGACGTGGCTGTCGATTTCTCCCTGGAGGAGTGGGCTCTCCTGAATCCTGGTCAGAAAGCCTTGCACGGGCAGATCACGGAGGAGATTAATGAGATTGTGGACTCTCTTGGTAAGGCTCACACACTGTTGGGGATTTCTATTTCAAAATGCAGTATTATCCTAAATCATCACAGTCATTAAGAGTCCTCAAGGCAGGGCTTATATTAGAAATATATGACATAGGGGTGGTGGTGGTGGTGGACCCAAAGTGGCTTACAGCCTATTAATATCATACAAACATCCATCCAAAAGCTTGTATAAATCAAATAAAACAACCAATAAACATAATTTTTTTAATAAACAATTTAAAAGCAATATACATTCATGTGGCATCTTGTCGAGTTATATTGATTTTGCGCCAGGCAATAACATTATAGCATTTTCTGGCACTTTTGTCTAAATTTCTTTGCTGAAGGCCTGCCCAAACAAAAACATTTTTGCTGATTCTTGAAAGAAGAAAGGGAGGGAGCTGTTTTAATTACTTTGTGGATGGTATTCCACAGGCTTGGGGCGGTTACTGAGAAGGCCCTCTCCCTTGCCACCGCCAACCCGCATTTGAGATGGCAGTGGAAGTGAGAGCAGAGCCTCCTCTGATGATGTTAAGGATCGAGCAGGTTGATATGAGGAGATGTGTTCAGATATGTTGAACCTGAACTGTTTAGGGCTTTAAAGGTCAAAACCAGCACCTTGAATCGGTCTCAGAAACAAATTGGCAGCCAGTGAAGGTGCTGTAGCAGTGGAGTTGTGCGCTGCCTGGGTCCAGCACCTGTGAGTAGCTCTTTGAACTAATTGAAGTTTCTGGGCACTCTTCAGGGGTGGCCCCAGGTAGCGGTAGACAGGTATTGGAACCGGAGCAACTGCTTGAACAAAGGTGTCATGAAATATGATGTATAGTTTGAATGGAATTGTATGAGAGGTGCGTGAATGGGGCCTAATTGGACTGATGACACAATTCTGAAAAGATCGACAGCTGGAAAACTACAAGAAGGAGGTGAAGAATTCATGGACTGTAATTAAACATTGCTGAATTGCTGATGTTGATGACCAGCGACAATTATTAACTGTTAATTAACGATCTCTGCAGGACTCCAGAATTAGGTATGGGACCTTGTATGTTGGAGCAGAGCAATCCAGCCTTAAAGAAGCATGGGAAGACAGAACTGGAGGTTCAGGGAGAGAAATAAAAAGGAGGCAATGATTGTGAAATGGGTGGTAACAACATAAAATCTTAAGCTAGAGAAAAAGATAAGAATTTGAATGTGACAAGAAAAGGCATCCATTCCCCCAGAGAGAAGGAGATAGAATAAAAAAAAACCAGGCTGGGCTGAGCAACAGGTAGCCTCTGGAGCATACATTAACTCATCTCTCTCTTAGAGGCTCCAGGCAGTGAAACCATGTCCATCTTTACTGAACAAGGAGCGGGGATACGATAATATTTATATCTTCTTTTCCTCCATGTCTATGTTGTTTTAAGGATCATTTAAATCCACTTCTTCTCCCACTTCCTTAGAGTTCTTATCACTGAGGAATTATTGTTTCTGTTCTTCTTCACAGTAGATAACGAGGAAAAAAGCAATGTATACAGCAAAGACATGAAGCATTTGGGACACATTGAGGACCTTCCTAGACACCAGGAAGCCTACTTGGAAGATGAAGATTCTGCCAGAGAAAGCCCTTATATATGCAGTGCATGTGGGCAATGTTTCACCCAATATGTAGAACTTGAGTTTCACAAATGTGTAGTTGATCACAATTTGCTAGATCTGTGCCAACAAGAAATCTTTCAAGGAACTGAGGATTTCATTAGCCAAGAGTATGAGAAATATTTTATCCAGGGCTCACACTTGGTGAAACACGAGACATTTAACACAGGACAAGAACCTTACAGATGCCAGGAGTGTGGAAAATGTTTTGCTCGCAATTCAAACTTGGTGAGGCACAAAAGACTCCACACAGGAGAGAAGCCATACCAATGCCAGGAGTGTGGGAAATGTTTTGCTCGCAGTTCAGCCTTGGTGAGCCACAAAACACTTCACACAGGGGATAAGCCATACCAGTGCCAGGAGTGTGGGAATTATTGTGCTTCCCATTCAGACTTGGTGAAGCACAAAAGAATTCACACAGGAGAGCAGCCATGCCAATGCCAGGAGTGTGGGAAATATTTTGCTCACAAATCAGCCTTGGTGGGCCACAAAAGACTCCACACAGGGGAGAAGCCATACCAGTGCCAGGATTGTGGGAGATGTTTTACTCACAATTCACACTTGGTGAGGCACAAAAGGCTCCACACAGGAGAGAAGCCATACCAATGCCAGGAGTGTGGGAAATGTTTTGCTGACAATTCAGACATGCTGAGGCACAAAAGACTTCATACAGGGGAAAAGCCACACAAATGCCAGGAGTGTGGGAAATGTTTTGCTGACAGTTCACACTTGGTGAGGCACAAAAGATTTCACACAGGAGAGAAGCCACACCAATGCCAGGAGTGTGGAAAATGTTTTGCTCACAATTCACACTTAGTGAGGCACCAAATACTACACACAGGAGAGAAGCCATACCAATGCCAGGAGTGTGGGAAATGTTTTGCTCGCAGTTCACACTTGGTGCGGCACAAAAGACTTCACACAGGAGAGAAGCCACACAAATGCCAGGAGTGTGGGAAATGTTTTGCTTACAGTTCAGACTTGGTTAGGCACAAAAGACTTCACACAGGAGAGAAGCCACACAAATGCCAGGAGTGCGGGAAATGTTTTTCTGAGAGTTCACACCTGGTTAGGCACAAAAAACTTCACACAGAAGAGAAGCCATACCAATGCTAGGAGTATGGGAAATGTTTTGCTCAGAATGCATAGACCCTTGGAGATCCCACACAGGAGAGAAACCATAGAAATGCCAATAGTTTTAGAAATGTTTTCTTTTCAAGTCATCACTTCTGAGACACCGGAACATCCACACAGGAAAGAAACCATACAAATGCCAGGATTGTGGGAAATTTTTTATTTGGAGTTCATCCCTTTTGTTCCACCAGAGAATTCACACAGGAGAAAAACCATACATATGCCCAGATTGTGGGAAATGTTTTTCCTACAGTTCACACTTGGTGAGGCACAAAAAACTTCACACAGGAGAGAAGCCACACAAATGGCAAGAGTGTGGAAAATATTTTACTCAGACTTCATCTCTTAACAAGCACCAGGGAATACATACGGGCTAAAAAACATACCAAAGCCAGGAGTCTGGGAAATATTTTGTTTGGGGTTCATATCTTTTGAACTATCGCAAACTATGTACAGGAGAGAACTCATCCAAAATCTGGAACAAAACTAAAAAAATGCAACAGGAGAATTGCAGATTGTGGACATTCTGGTGCTGTAAGCTATACATTTAACATTTCCTGATTAATATGTGTGACTCCCTTGGCTTCTGGTAACACTTGGCTTGACTTTGGACAACTTGTTTGGGTTTTGAAGTCTTGTCCAGTTTTTTGTTTTGCCTTGTTTGATCTGGGAGCTGTTTTGGAGAACTCTTTTGCTTCTCTGGACATGGGCATCGCCATGGGAGTTGGCTGGCTTTTCCCTGGTCAGCTTTTGTGGGTAAACATCTGATTTCAAACAGGACACTTTGAGAAGTTTTACCTTACATTTGGTAGAGTCCCCTTTCTTGTCGTTTGAATTCCTAAGTTGAGGTCCTCTTCTCTGAAGAAGCAGAAAGCAAGCTCCATGTGACAATAATTCCGAAAATTAAATATGATTGTCATGTCACGTATTTTTAAAAGAAACCATATGTAATTCCATCTGTTGTTCCTCCAGCTCCTTTACCACCTTGGTTGCAAATTTCCAGTTTGTGAGTGTTGTCTTTCAGCTGAGATTCCAGAATTGAACACGTTGCTTCTCTTGAGGTCAAGCCAGAGGAAAAGATGCTTGCACTAATATTTCCCTTGATGTGCAAATCGTATTTCTGCCTATAATTTACTGTCTATTTCCGTGCTCCTGGCACACACACTTTTCATCCATATTAATTTGAAAAAAATGAGTGTTGTTATTTTAGAATTTACAATGTTATATATCCTTTTTTGTTATAGGCTATGAGAATTAGATCTTTTTTTTTTCAGTCCGTGGATCTTATATATTAAGAAAATAAGTTGTAAATAACAACTATGTGTATAATAAATAAAAGCTTCCCAACTAGTCGCTTCCAATTGCTTATGAAAATCTAATTAACTGTACAAATAGATTATGTAGATTTGCCTCTGAACAGACCAAGAGATTGTTGAAGGCTTTCATGGCCGGAATCACTGGGTTGTTGTAGGTTGCTTTAAGTATTGCTTTAACTATGTGGATCTGCCGAAAGAGAGGAGGAGCTGAGGAGCCTTCTAATCAGGGTGAAAGAAGAAAGCACAAAAGCTGGGTTGCAGCTAAACATAAAAAAACCCAAGATTATGGCAACAAGAATGATTGACAACTGGGAAATAGAGGGAGAAAACGTGGAGGCAGTGACAGACTTTGTATTTCTAGGTGCAAAGATTACTGCAGACGCAGACTGCAGCCAGGAAATCAGGAGACGCTTACTTCTTGGGAGGAGAGCAAGGACCAATCTCGATAAAATAGTGAAGAGTAGAGACATCACACTGGCAATGAAGATCCGCATAGTCAAGGCAATGGTGTTCCCTGTAGTCACCTATGGATGTGAGAGCTGGACCAGAAGGAAGGCTGAGCGAAGGAAGAGAGATGCCTTTGAACTGTGGTGCTGGAGGAAAGTTCTGAGAGTGCCTTGGGCCGCGAGAAGATCCAACCAGTCCATCCTTCAGGAAATAAAGTCTGGCTGCTCATTGGAGGGAAGGATAGTAGAGGCCAAGATGAAGTACTTTGGCCACATCATGAGAAGAAAGGAAAGCTTAGAGAAGACAATGATGCTGGGGAAAATGGAAGGAAAAAGGAAGAGGGGCCGACCAAGGGCAAGATGGATGGATGGCATCCTTGAAGTGACAGGACTGACCTTGAAGGAGCTGGGGGTGGTGACGGCCGACAGGGAGCTCTGGCGTGGGCTGGTCCAGGAGGTCACAAAGAGTCGGAAACGACTGAACGAATGAACAACAGCAGGCATTGGGAACATCGCTGAAAATTCCCTTTTTAAAACCACAGTCTGAAACAACTTGAAAGCACACAACAACAACAACAATAACAATCCTATCTCATCAGCCAAAAGCAGGCCTACACTTCCCATTGAAATACTAATTTATATTTGTTAAAATTGTTCTTCATTTTAATTATTGTATTGTTTTTAAGTGTTTTTGCACTACAAATAAGATATGTGCAGTGTGCATAGGAATTCATTCATGTCTTCTTTTTTTTTCCCAAATTATAATCTGGCCCTCCAACAGTTTGAGGGACTGTGACCTGGCCCTCTGTTTAAAAGGTTTGAGGAGCCCTGGTCTAGAGGCATTCTCTCCTGACGTTTCGCCTGCATCTATGACAAGCATCCTCAGAGGTAGTGAGGTCTGTTTGTGTATTGTATACTGTATTGTATTTTGTGAATTGTTAGGCATCGAATTGTGCCTTTTGTAAGCCGCCCTGAGTTCCCCCTAGGGGGTTGAGAAGGGCGGGGTAGAAGCACCCCAAATAAATAAATAAAAACTAGGAAAAAGGGTTTATATATCTGTGGAATGACCAGGGTGGGGCAAAGGACTCTTGTCTGCTGGAGCTAGGTGTGAATGTTTCAGCTGACCACCTTGATTAGTATATAATGGCCTGGCAGTGCCTAGAGCAAACTTTTGCTGAGAGGTGATTAGATGTCCTTGTTCGTTTCCTCTCTGTTGTGCTGTTGTAATTTTAAAGAGTTTTTTTTAATTATTTATATTTATTGGTGAGATATCAAAGAAAGGTAGGATATCTCCAAAATAGCTGGCCAGAAAAAAAGGGAGGACCTTTTTGTACTCTTCCTTGGGAAAAAGTACTCTATCTCTGTCTTCATCTTCAGTCCTTTGGTTCCAGGGCTTTGGAGAGATGCTCTTTCCCATTCCTTCCAGTGTCACCCTGGGCAAGGAAGGGTTAAGGGGAGGGAGTGTGGTTCCCAGAGAGGCAGGAAGGAAGTAGGCCTCCTCATACCTTTCCTGCCCCTCTAGGAACCAAACTCCCTCCCCTTCCACTTCCTCCTCGCGGTTTATTTCCTTTTCCTCCTCCTCTCCTTCTGGTGAGTCTTATTCCCAGGGTGGAAGAGGGGCTGAAGCCCAACACACCTGGAGGGAGGGCTGGAGCTGGCCCAGGCCTGGACTCACATGGGACTGGGGGTCACCAGGTTCTCCAACCGGGGGATCCTTGGGGGGAGAGAGAGAGGCAGGCAGGCCCATGCCTCTCCCCTACCAACCCCCTCTCCTCCCTGCCTGGGTCCTCTTTTTCCCTCCTTGAGTTCTTATTAACCACTAGCTGTCCCCTGCCACACATTGCTGTGGCCCAGTCTGAGATAGTGTTGGTTTATAATATATGCAGTGCCTTTATGCTTGTGGGTAAACAGTATTTCTTGTTGTTTTTTGTCAGTGTTGATGTGGAGATTGTCTGGTTTGCCTACTCTGGAACATGCAACATATAAATGTCCTCCTTCAAATCTACAATACTGTATGTATGTATGTATCAGCCAATGGGATTTTGGCCTGCATCAATAGGAGCCTAGTGTCTAGATCTAGGGAAGTAATGCTACCCCTCTGTTCTGCTCTGGTTAGACCACACCTGGAATATTGTGTCCAATTCTGGGCACCACAATTCAAGAGAGATATTGACAAGCTGGAATGTGTCCAGAGGAGGGCGACTAAAATGATCAAGGGTCTGGAGAACAAGCCCTATGAGGAGCGGCTTAAGGAGCTGAGCATGTTTAGCCTGAAGAGAAGGCTGAGAGGAGATATGATAGCCATGTATAAATATGTGAGAGGAAGCCACAGGGAGGAGGGAGCAAGCTTGTTTTCTGCTTCCTGGAGACGAGGATGCGGAACAATGGCTTCAAACTACAAGAAAGGAGATTCCATCTGAACATGAGGAAGAACTTCCTGACTGTGAGAGCCGTTCAGCAGTGGAACTCTCTGCCCGAGTGTGGTGGAGGCTCCTTCTTTGGAAGCTTTTAAACAGAGGCTGGATGGCCATCTGTCAGGGGTGATTTGAATGCAATATTCCTGCTTCTTGGCAGAATGGGGTTGGACTGCATGGCCCATGAGGTCTCTTCCAACTCTTTGATTCTATGATTCTATATATCTATCTATATCTATGGCTGGATGGCTCTTTGTCAGAAGGGCTTTGATTACGTTTTCTTGCCCAGGTGAAGGGAATTGGAATGGACGGCCTTAAGTATTTTCTCTTGGTTATGGGGGTTCTGTGTGGGAAGTTTGGCCCAATTCTATCGTTGGTGGGGTTCAGAATGCTCTGTGATTGTAGGTGAACTATAAATCCCAGCAACTACAACTCCCAAATGTCATGATTCTATTTTCCCCAAACTCCACCATTGTTCACATTTGGGCATATTGAGTATTCATGTAGAGTTTGGTCCAGATCCATCATTCTTTGAGTCCACAGTGATCTCTGGATGTAGGTGAACTACAACTCCAAAACCAAAGGACACTGCCCACCAAATCCTTCCAGTATTTTCTGTTGGTCATGGGAGAACAGTGTGCCCAGTTTGGTTCAATTCCATCGTTGGTGGGGTTCAGAATGCTCATTGATTGTAGGTGAACTATAAACCCCAGAAACTACAACTCCCAAATGACAAAATCAATTTTTTTTGAGTGAAGGAAATACATTGGGTTATTAGGTGTCTTGTGTCCAAATTTGGTGTCAATTCGTCCAGTGGTTTTTGAGTTCTGTTAATCCCACAAACAAACATTACATTTTTATTTATATAGATTTCAAAGGAAAACATATTTTCCACCCAAAAGAAAAAGGAGAACAAAGAAGGGGAGGAGGGTTGCAGAGCCCTGATTAGTAGATTAGGACTGTATAAATGTCTACTGTATCACTGAGGAAGGGGGCAGAGAGGGGGAGAGAAGCCTTAGATGTGTTTGTTGTAGTTATTAAGGCAAAAGTAAAGGTTTTCCCCTGACATGAATTGCAGCCGTGTCTGACTCTGGGGTGTGGGGCTCATCTCCATTTCTAAGCTGAAGAACCGGCGTTGTCCGTAGACACCTCCAAGGTCATGTGGCCAGCATGACTGCATGGACTGCCGTTACCTTCTGGGTTTCCAAATATTTTACTTTAGTTGTTTAGTTGATTTTCGTCACTCGTTTCAAAGTCTCTTGGTCCTTCTTCACAAGAAAGGCTGTGGATCATGCAGCATCAGTGGAAGGAATCATGGGGGGAATCAGTGTGGGTTGGGACTGAATGGGAGCTCAATGGGAGGCCGGATGAGGCCAGGTGGGTCTGGAGGCTGGAGAAGCAGAGGTCCAAGTGAAAGGAGGGCCCAGCATTGCCTGGCTCTGAAAAAAGGGGGAGGTTGTTTTTAATCTCCAATAAAAGGCCTCCTGAAGCCTGTTGTCTAATGCTGCCTTTCTTTCACAGAGGAAAGGTGATTGTTGGCTGAGAAATTTGGAGTACAGCCAGTGGAGGATTTTCTTGGCCTTGAAAGAAGAGGGAGGAAGAGCTTCTTGGATACAGTTTGGTTTTTTTATCAGAGTGATTTTAACATGGAGAGACTCAACTCACCTGAACCTGAAGCAGGCAGGGCCCCTGGGAGTAATGGGGAATTCTGGGAAGGAACTACACAGATGTCCCTGAATGCACACTTACAGCACCAGTGCTTTAGGCATTCCTCCTACCAAGAGGGCGAGAGACCCAGAGAAGTTTGCAGCCGCCTCCACGATCTCTGCCACCAGTGGCTGAAACCAGAGCAAAACACCAAGGCGGAGATGCTGGACCTGGTGATCCTGGAGCAGTTCCTGAGCATCCTGCCCCCAGAGATGGGGAGCTGGGTCCGAGAGTGTGGGGCAGAGACCTCTTCCCAGGCGGTGGCCCTGGCGGAAGGCTTCCTCCTGAGTCAGGCGGAGGACGAGAAGCAGGAAGGACAGGTGAGAGCATTTCCTCTTGGCTTCACTCACCTTGGGACTGATGGAAAGATTAAATATACATCCTGCTTTCCTTCCAAAATGGGACCGATGTGAGGGAAAAGCCAGACTCTGCTCCCTCGGCCTCTTTTCCCACCTACTCTGCCCCTCCTGCTCTCACCTCCATATCCACTGTAAGCTCGGTTGCTCCTCTACCCAGAGGTGTTGATGCCAGATATCACATTAAAATCTATGGGAGAGGGGAGCATGGCCTTTGTTTCAAACTAGGTTGCAATGTCACAATGCAGTTCCTACTCATTTGGGGGGAAATTCTTTTCTAATCTTTCTCCATTCCTCTTATGGAATTCTCTGTGGTCTTTCAGGCCCAACATAACTGTATTGAAGTCCAGCCTGATGTCCCTGAATCAGAGAAATCTCCACCAGACATGACCCCGAGCCTCCAGCAAAAAGAGTCGAAGCAGGAAGAAGATCGAGTTGCAGCCTCGCAGGGTAAGAAGGAATCCTTTGGGGTTATTTTTGGTGTTTTTTGCCAGTCTAAGTTTTCCTAGACTTAATGACAAGGGGAAATCTTTACCCTTACTTTAAATTCCCCCTTGAGGGGATTGTAGCACATCCCCAATCAGTTTGAGATTGAGACCGTGCACATGCAGGATCATTTGGTCTCGACATTAGTATTTTGGTAGGCATTCGGTTGCCCAGAGTCCCTTTGGGGAGATGTGGCAGGATATAAATGATGATGATGATGATGATGATGATTAGGTGTAATTTCAGTATGATTTGCCATTTTCTTTCTTGCCATACTTCCACATTTGCCTAAAATTGAATAGGATTGAAAATTCAGCCCTTCAGTGTCTTTCCAGGTGGGACCCGAAGCTCAGATGAGCCCTGAAACTGAGCTGGAAGACAAACAAACAACAAACAATAACTTTAGTCAATTGACTTACCAAGCCCAGTATTAGGTTCAATCCAACCTATCCACAGCAGTGGTTGAGATAAAAAGTCCTAAACTCCAAAACTTACATATTCCTGGGCTGGAGAATGCTCCTGTCTTCATAGGGTCATTTCCTCATAGGTTTTTTTATATTACTGCAATTGTAACCTCTGCGACATGTTTATGTGTTCAGCTTTCCACACCTTGCTCTCTCTCTCTCTCTCAGGGGCTGGAATGATGTTGCTGAATCCTCAGTCATTTCTTCCGCTTTGTGATGGAGTGAAATTGAATCAGGTAAGCAGAAGGATTCCTGGGAGAGGAGGAATGGAGTTGCCTGGGTGCCTCCCTCTGCCTCCCCCTTCCCCACCCTGACCCTCCTGCTCTTACCTCCATATCCACTGTAAGCTCGGTTGCTGCTCTACTCAAATTTGTTGACCCCCAGGTATAGCATTGAAAATGATGAGAGGAAATGGCATACAATCCAATAATTTTAGAGGTTTTAAGGATTTAATGTGTTAAATATGTGGATTGTATTAGGTCTTGTTTATGTAAGTTGCTTTTTGATTTGTTATATGTTATCCTCAGCATTGAATGTTTCCCACTGTGTTTTATTTTGTTGTAAACTGCCCTGAGTCTGCACAGGAAGATAGGGCAGGCTATAAATAAAGCATTATTATTATTATTATTATTATTATTATTATTATTATTATTATTACTATCATATCTCAAGAGTCATATGCTTTGGGTCCACCCTATCTTCGAGACTGCATCTCCTTCTATGAACTGGTGCATGCCTTGAGATCTACTTGGAAGGCCCTTCTCTCGATCCCACCACTGTCACAGGTGTGGTTGGTAGAGACGAGAGAGAGGGCCTTCTCGGTGGTGGCTCCCTGGCTCTGGAATGCCCTCCCTAGAGAGAATAGATTAGCCCCAAATCTCCAAACCTTACATTCAAGCCTAAAAACATGGCTGTTTAAAGGGGCCTTTGACCTGGAGTAATGTTTTATGGTCATGCGATGACATTATTCAGCACTTTAGTTCATATTTGAAGAAACCCAATGACCCACAGGTATGACTGCATGTAAAAATGTTTAAAATTTTTAATTTTATTGATTGACGTTGTCCTTTGTTTGTATTTAGTCAAATTGTGTATTGTTTTGATGATATGTAATTCTATTTTACGTGTGGCAACTTGAGTGCCACACTGAGTCTCTTCAGAGAGATGGTGGCAGGGTACAAATAAATTATTATTATTATTATTACTAAAAGGTCCATGTGGTTTCTGCACATAGGTCTGTGATATTATTGAATTTTCTCCATACTCCTTCTGGCTTTTTCAGGCCCAAAATAACTGTATTGAAGCCCAGCCTGATGTCCCTGTATCAGAGAAATCTCCATCAAACGCTACCCAGAGCCTCAGGCTGAAGGAGATCAAGCAGGAAGCAGATGGGGGTGCAGCATTGCAGGGTGAGAAGGAACTCCTCTGGGAGTGTTGATGTTTTGTGCCAATGTAAATTCCCCTTCGGAGGGATTGGAGCACATCCCCAGTCAGTTTGAGCTTGAGAAGGTGCATATGCCAGGTCATTTGAACTTGAGATGGGTATATATTTTAAACGTTCTTTGTTTGATTTCTATTTTATGTACTTTAATATGTATTTTTATAGAAATGCAGTTTTAACGTAGATTTATTTATTTATTTATTTGATTCATTTATTAACCGCCATTCTCAGCCCTTACGGGCGACTCATGGCGGTGTACAGTACACATAAAAGACAGTTACAGTTAGATCTTTTATAGAAATATGTATATTTCGTAAAATTTTGCAGTGTTCATTTTTTTTTGTGTTGCAACCCACCTTGAGCCACACGGAGAGACAGATAAGAAAAAAAAATGATTATTATTATTATTATCCTTATTATTATTATTCATTTATTTTATTTATTTACGACATTTATGTGCCGCCCTTCTCAGCCCGAAGGGGACTCAGAGTGGCTTACAAGATATATATACATACAATATATTATATTGTTAACATAGTACAATATCAGTATTAAATATTACTATATTGTATATTGTAATATTAGTAATATTACATGTAATAAAATATATAATTATAATATATTAGTAGTAGTATTGTATTGCATTACATTATAATGTAATATAATGTATATACATATATTATATTATTAACATAGTACAGGAGACAAGATGGAACCGTCCCCTGCCCCCCTTTCTCTTCTTACTTACTTACTTACTTACTTAGGCGATCCCTCGTTTTCCGAGGAGGATTGTCTTCCAGAATTCTTGTGGGTCCGTATGTGGCTGTGGAGCCCTATTCTTGCTCTGCATCTTCTTCCGCAGTGAGGGCATTGGTTTCCAGGTGGAAGGAGGTCTCAGTCGGGGTTGGCTTGATGCGCCTTCCTCTTGCCATGCTTCTCCCTTTTGTCCTCCATTCGTGCCTCGTCAAATTCTGCAGCACTGCTGGTCACAGCTGACCTCCAGCTGGAGCACTCAAGGGCCAGGGCTTCCCAGTTCTCAGTGTCTATGCCAGAGATTTTAAGGTTGGCTTTGAGCCCATCTTTAAATCTCTTTTCCTGTCCACCAACATTCCATTTTCCATTCTTGAGTTCAGAGTAGAGCAACTGCTTTGGGAGATGGTGGTAGGGCATCCGGACAACGTGGCCAGTCCAGCGGAGTTGATGGCGGAGGACCATCGCTTCAATGCTGGTGGTCTTTGCTTCTTCCAGCATGCTGACGTTTGTCCACCTGTCTTCCCAAGAGATTTGCAGGATTTTCCGGAGGCAGCGCTGATGGAATCGTTCCAGGAGTTGCATGTGACGTCTGTAGACAGTCCACGTCTCACAGGCATATAGCAGGGTTGGGAGGACAATAGCTCTATAAACAAGCACCTTGGTATCCCTACGGATGTCCCGGTCCTCAGACACTCAAACACTCTCTGCTTCATTCTGGCCAAGTTGGTGCTGGGGGGAGGGGTCCCCAGCTAATGACATATACAGGAGACAAAATGGAACCGTCCCCTGGCCCCTTCTCTTTTGGTTGCAAAAGGTGTAATTTCAGTGTGATTTGCAGATTTCTTTCATGCAATACTTCTATATTAGCGTAAAGTTGAATAGGACTGAAAATTCAGCCCTTCAGTGTCTTCCCAGGTGGGACCCGAAGCTCAGATGAGCCCTGAAACTGAGCAGGAAGACAAGCAGACAGCAAGGAATAACTTTAGTCAATTGAAATGCCAAGCCCAGGACTAGGTTCAGTTCAAACTACTAACAGCACTGCTTGCAAGATAAAATCCTAAACCCTAAAGTTCCTTTTGAACTGTAATACTCTCCTCTGAGGCATGTTTATGTGTTCAGCTTTCCACACCTTGCTCTCTCTCCCAGGGTCTGGAATGATGTTGCCAAATCCTCAGTCATTTCTTCCCCTTTGTGATGGAGTGGAACTGAATCAGGTAAGCAGAAGGATTCCTGAGGAATGGGGCTGCTTGGGGGTAATTTCTTCCAGGCTTAATCATCAAACATCTCTTGAAACAGAAGAGATTGAATGGGAGTTTCTTAGAAGTGTGATACTGAAGGCACAATTTCAAACACCACAATGAAAGCTGGAACATGTCCAGATTCCATTTCTGATTCTACATGTTAATTAGGATTGGTTTTGACTGTGACCAACTGGACACCTCTACAAAGCTTAAACTATGGCATGGAGGTCGTACCCCTTTTCCTTTCAAACAGCCAACAGGAATGTAAATCTCCTTTAAAGAGTTTCTTGTCGCTATTCTTCTTGATCGCCCATATGTGAGAATGATGGTTTCTTTTTCCACCAGGGCCCAATCGCCTTTGAGGACTTGGCTGTTGATTTCTCCCCAGAGGAGTGGTCTCTCCTGAATCCTGATCAGAAAACCTTGCACGTGCATATCACGGAGGAGATTAATGAGATTGTGGACTCTCTTGGTAAGGCTCCCTCACAGATGGGTATTTCTATTTCAAAATGGAGTATTATTCCAAATCATCACAGTCACTGAGGGTCCTTGAAGAAGGGCTTATGTTAGAAATATATGACATAGGAGTAACAATAATAACAATAATAATAACAATAATAATAATAATAATAAATCTTTATTATATCCCGCTTTTCTCCCTCGAGGGACCCAAAGTGGCTTACAGCCAGCCATCTCCGATGGAGATTTTCCTTTGTCAATGGTTGGAGAGAGGCTGGCAAGTTTCAGAACAATGGATGAGATGACAACTGACGATGGGATTAAATATCCCTGATGTGCAGACACAATGACCCTAATGGGTCTGCCAAAATATTATAATAATAATAATAATAATAATAATAATAATAATAATAATAATAATAATAATAATAACACTTTATTTGTACCCCGCTACCATCTCCCCAAGGGACTCGGTGCGGCTTACATGAGGCCGAGCCCAAACACAACAATACAAGCAATAATAACAACAATACAAGCAATTAAAATTAAAAAAAAACATAGACAAT